GAACCATTCCAGATTAGCTTACGTGTACAAAAGCATTGGTATAGTACATCGCCAAACAGGAGATTACTCGAAGGCGCTCTCTTTCTTTCAAAAGACGCTAGAAATAGAACAAATATCCTTCCAACCTCATGACTATCATCTAAGTATTACCTATAATTATGTCAGTTAAGTGTATCGAAACATTGGAGAATATTCAAAGGCACTCTACTTTTTTCAAAAGACATTGGAAATCAGACAAAAAGCTCCCCATTTGGATCATCGCTCTCTGGCTAATATCTATGGCAACATGGCTGCAGTACACAAAGATATGAAAGACTACTTCAATGCACTCTCATTTTTACAAAAGTTACTGGAAGCCCAACAAATATTCTTGGCGAAAAGCAATCCACAATTGGCTGGCACGTACGATGAAACTGGACTGACGCTTAATGAAGTCGCTGTCACAATCACAACAACAGCCTCCTCCTGATAGTCTTTCAGACCTCTAGTTCTAGCAAAAGAAACACATATACTCATGAAAAATTTATAAAATTTATCTCCCAGTGACAATGTGTGAGTATCAGTATTAGTGTCAGTTTTCGTAACCCTCGCACACCGAAATACGTCGATACTCGCACCCAAACTCACCCTCCGGAAAAATTTTAAGGCATATCGAACCGAGCTGAAACAAAGCAACATTTCTGACAAATTAGTGAAGTCATTTGTGGGGATAAGATGTGGGTGTCAGTGAAGAGAAGATCGAAACCTACCTACACCCATACCCACACCCATCAGGTATTATGCTGAAGTCTTCTGAAGTTTCATGAAATCTTGAAGTTCGCTATTTCCCTTTCTTTGTTTATTGAACAGGACAATAAAAATGTCGTCGACAAACTCTACAACAGAAAACTAAGTTTTGTCACATCTAATCATCTTCTACAGTACTAAACGAAGCTTTTTGAATCAATGTACATGGTAATAAGATGCCGACAATGCTTTTATGTCAGCTTGAATACTTCGATGTCTGATGTAGTGAACGTACGAGTCCCAGTAAATGTTTCGGCACCTATATTGGTTGTATCCAAGTATGCTTTGGGAAAGCCGATACAGCTATTCGTGTTTGTGTTGCTGTCCGTTGCCACGTATAGATCGTGACCACAACCGAAGGTCGGTCCAAAGCCACCGTTATGACAAACCGCATAATGTACATATTGCTTAACGATTGAATATCTGGTCGGCGAAATACTATGGGGATTTATTAGAGTGAACAAGAATGCGGTGTCGTCACTTGCAAAGTCACCACTTGAACCCCAAGGAATTGAGGTGTAACCACCGAAGAGGCAACCATTATCCGATTGAATAATTGTCATTGTCTCCCCATCATGATCACAGCATGAGTGAAATGTAGCAGCTTCAAAGCCATACGTTGACGCTTTGTAGATTAGTGTCCATTGCTGATTTCGATGCCCATAAAATTCATTTAATATACTCTTGTTTTCCGATGTAAGCAGTGTACTATTCGGAAAGTTGTCTTCGATGACCGTATTGAAAATTATTGCTTCGAGACTCTCAGATGTATCTGACGCATTCGGATTGATTGGTTCTAGTGGTTCCATGGAGCTGGGCCTACGAAAATTAGTCGACAAGATAACTGTTCGATGTAATTGATAGTCGAGAAATTTATAGATGTATACAAAAACCTTTTTAACCAAACTAAGACTGAAGGTGTTATCAATAAAGTGAAAATTGCCACAAAGAAAAATACGTTTCTCTGATATACGCAAGATATGAACTAGAAATTCTTTTTATAATTAAAATTATTACACTCACAGATTTTCATGAAATTGTATCATAATTAATTCTGATGAAAAAGTTGAACCAAGAAAAAAAGCATTGTAAGTTTAGTAGACGACTACGTCGCTTAACTACACAATCAAAGCTAACATTATATTTGAAAAGAAAGACAGCCATAATTTCCTTATCAAATACTAAAGTTGGTCTGAAATAGCTGATGAAGTACGAATTATAGAATCTTTAAGACATTATTTATATAAAACGTTATTATCCCATTGTGAAAATTTAAGGTGGTTTTAATAATAATAAGATGCTCATAGATACTCTAAACGCAAATTCTTTTTTCGCAACACAGTGAAAAGACTGACGAAATAATACCTTGGAAAGTAGAAGGCGCTCACTTCTGTTTTAGATGGTCATGCTATAAAAATCAGAGCAACTACTCATCATTTCCTAACTGCTAGTTTTTATTTTGCATTCAGTTGAAAGTCTGGTTCAAAAATTCTTTTTTTGTATTACTATAAATTTCTCAACTATTATCATTCATATTAGACAATCTTTTCGTCGATCAATTTTTGTTCGGCAAATTTCGCTTTCCCCATGGAGCTACCACCACATTCTCCCCCGCTCGGCATGATCTCAATATAAAACTTTTTCAAAACTAATCTTGAGCTTTGTCTCACTTCAATACACAAACTAATGTCCGCGCCAGAATAAAAGAGGGGTGAGTGTAAGCTCAATAACTCGACAACCGCAATACCTAGCTACCTGCGGTTTTCACCAATCGAAAGAGAAGGAGCGGGCACGTCTTTTTCGTCGATAATGTATAAGACGAAATTCTTTTAAAACTAATGATATTTGAAAAACATGCAAAACAACTCATGAAAATGACCTGTCAGCTAGATGAAATTTNNNTTTGAAGTACAATATTTTAAAGAGCTTTACTTTTTATTATCCGAAAACTTATACGTACTATGAATCTACGTATCAAGACAACAAATTTCTAGAACTTAAAATCGAGAATTATTTGAAAAACTAGCTCCATTGGCTGGAAACTGCAAAAGATATCGCTAGCATACTGGCAGGTTCATCTATCGTGAAGTCTCTTAATTGTTAGGAGATGAATTTGATTAAACGAATATTTTCGCCTGCGTTCTAACTTGATAACGACGTTGATGTTGATAAAGTTACTGTGGTGCGTACACAAAAGATTCTGAAAAGTTTCACTTGAATTAATTGCGAAGTCATACAAAGAGAATGAGTTTAATTAGAAAAATTTCTTTATTATCTTCCTATTAATTTTGATTCAGGAAAAGAAAAGCTGTTAGCGCAATCCCTTGCAAGATTAAAAATGTGAAACACGATGCATATATTGTTACTAATTAAATGGAAATCCTTTTGTTCCGTTTCTTTGCGACACATTTGCAGCTAACCGTTTATCTGATGCTTTACAAAGACAGTTTCTCTGTCATGGTCTGTGATGAGTACCGGGGTTCTCTGTCACCGTCTGCGATGGGTACCCGGGGTTCTCTGTCACGGTCTGTGATGAGTACCGTGGTTTTCTGTCACGGTCTGTGATGGGTACTGGGGTTCTGTATCACGGTATGTGATGGGCACCAGGCGTTTTCTGTCATGGTCTGTGATGGGTACCGGGATTCTCTGTCACGGTCTGTGATGCGTACCCGGGGTTCTCTGTCACGGTCTGTGATGGGTACCGTGGTTTTCTGTCACGGTCTGTGATGGGTACGGTGGTTTTCTGTTACGGTCTGTGATGGGTACCGGAATTCTATGTCACGGTCTGTGATGGGTACCCGGGGTTCTCTGTCACGGTCTATGCTGGGTACTCGGAGTTCTCTATCACGGTCTGTGATGGGTACCGGGATTCTCTGTCGCGGTCTGTGATGGGTACCCGGGGTTCTCTGTCACGGGCTGTGATGGGTACCGGGCTTCTCCGTCACGGTCTGTGACCGGTATGGATTTTCTCTATCACGGTCTGTCGTGGGGGAGGGGGAGGGGCGGGGAGTGGGTTCAAATTTCTACCCCTAACCACTTCAACACTCCTTTCAGATCGTGTTTCACAAAAACACGTAAGAAAACTGAACATTTTTAAATGAGCCATGTAACTCCTTGGAAAGCGGTCACGAACTTTTTATACTGCTCACTGACGTTTAATTTGAATAAGTTATGTGATAGTTCTTCAGAACCATCATAGATTTAAATAACAAAGTCATAAGTCTTTTGATATTAAGTCCAAACGCATTTTTCTTTCTATGTATCTAGACATTGGAGGGCGGTCCTATCAAAATACTCAACCTTAGTGACAATAACATCGACGATAACGGTATAAAGGATCTTGTGGGATCGCTCAAAGGAAAACAAACATTGACCGATCTATATTTGAATGACAATCAAATAGGGGATGAAGGCGTCGAGCACCTAGTCAAGACTCTTTCTCATCCAAACGCACATTTGCAGAAGCTCTACCTGAACAACAACAAACAGATAACTGATTGGGGTGCCAATCATCTGGTCGAAATGCTCAAAAATAATCGGTCATTAAATACGCTTTGGTTGCTCAAATGTGGTTTCAGTCACAGTGGTAGACAGAAACTGATAAACGCAGCTGAATCAAAAAAGTCTTTTTATTTGAACATTGAAAGATTTGATCAGAAATAAAGCCATAAAAAAATTGCTCCAAATATAATAAGAAAACGAACTGAGACTTAGCTAAAGCTGTTATTGCCCCAATAAAAGACCACTGAAAATCCTTCAGAGTAGAAATTGACTATTCAACCATTGACTCGCCAATTCAATCTCGTATCAAAGGAGAATTTAAAAGACAGTCAACGGGTGTCTATTTAGGAGCAATAGATCGACTCATGCTAGCTATAATTGTGTACGTGCTTATCATTGATGCAAGCTAGATAAATCACTCATATTTTACTAGATTAGTGTGTCGCGAATTGCTCTGGAACAGTTCAAACTCATAAATTCGATTCGGCTCTGGGTGTGGGTGTCTGCTTTAGACATACCGGCACCCAGACACCCACCCACAGCCACAGCCACACCCACACAGTCACACTCGACACCTTACACCCGCATCCACATCCACATTCAGATAGAATAGGAAAGAATCCGTATCTTTCTGTAAATGGCTATTTCTTTTTTATTTATCGTGATTTATTTCAAAGAAACAACACAAGAAATTAACCATTATAGTGATTGTTTTATAAAAGTGTTGAAATCAGTGAGTCTGTTCCATAGAAGCGTTGAACTCGATGATTTCCCCAATCGGCAACATAAAGATCACCATGTCGATCGAAGGATAAACCCATGGGAATGTTCAACTGATTTGCTTCTTGTCCTCGACCATTTCCACCCACAATGACAGTGCCATGTTTTGCTCCTTGATGCCAACGCATCACTCGATCATTGTTCGAGTCCACCACATAGAGGATATCATCAGTATCTACAAACAGTCCTTCAGGATAAAAAACTTCTGTCAAATCCTTTCCTTCCTCTTGACCACCAGCCACGACTATTCCTTTTTTTGCATCTTTATCCCATTTCATCACACGATGATTCCTGGTGTCCGATACATAGACAGCCTGTTGGTTGTCGACAAAAACAAAAGTCGGATAGTTGAGTTGATTGAGACCGTTACCTATACCGTGACCACCAGCCACAAGAGCACTGTTCTTGCGTCCTATTTTATATCGTCTTACTTCATTTTTGTCGGTGTCCGAGATGTAAAGATATGTCTTGTTATCCATGGCTAATCCATAACAGCCAATGTTGTTGAGGAGGATTTCTCCTTGATTGATGTCTCCATAAAGAGACCATCGTATAACTCGTCGGTTTCCCCGATCACAGATAATTAGACTATCTGTTTTTTTGTCGATCAACACATCAGTTGGTTGATTCAATTGAAACGATAGATTTCCGTCGCCATGACCACCTGCCACGATTTTTCTGTTTGTATCACCTAGCTTCCATTGGATGATGCGATGATTCGACGTGTCAGCTATGATTATTGTTTGATCGTCATCAACAGAGATACCTTCAGGAAAGTAAAGTTGATTGCTAGCATCCCCTTGTCCATAGCCTCCAGTAATGGTGATTCCATTCTTCACCCATCGAAGATCGGCTGGAGCATTGAGCATCATTGCTACAGTGAAGGCGTAAAAGAAAAGGAGTCGTCATTGTCATTATCGAAGAAGTACCTCTCTCTCACTAGGAGAAAAGTGCCAGAGGTGGAACCGCTAGATTTTTTACCTTTTCAGTACTACTACTGATCTAAACGGTCAGATTGGACCAAACTACAGTGTCGGTGTGACAGGTGTGAAGTTTTGACTGTGACATGTAGTTGTGGGTGTGGATGAAGAGAAAACCGGTACCGAGACTCACACCCTCACTCACATCCCACTCGTCCTCTTAAGGAATTCTCTACTGAACTGTATCCATCTTGATTGGTCGTTTACCCGTACCGGCTACAACTCTGATGTGAGTACGTCAGTGTTTATGGGTCCTCTGTTCACTCAAACACAACCATCCACCTATATCCCACGATCACACGCACATTCGATAGCCACACAAACTTCCACACCCACTCGAATCAGTTTTCATAGAATAATAACGATCAACCCAAAGTGTTTACAAGTACTGGTTGCTGTTAACGATGACTGGCATTTAGATCTAGCAATATCAATAGAGACTCGTTCCGAATAACACATCTGAAGGTTTTCCCTGAGTTTTATTGATGATTTGTTTTCGACATTTTCTCTAGTTTACACTCATATTTTTAAGCTGAGTCAAGAATGCAGGACCATAGTAGGATCTTTCTGGGAATCACCGACAGAATGCTGCAAGAATCTTCTTAGATTTTTGTCAACATCCCGTTCGAATCATAGTGTCAGTAGCCAATGACACTTAACAGCTACATCAGGGAACGGTGTGAGTATGCGAGTTACATGCTTGAAATAGCAGATGCAGCATCCAAAATCACATGCTGATGTTTTAAGGTTGTGGGTGTGAGTGTGGATGTGGATGTGGATGTTACTCTTCACTTTTTACATCCACACCCACACTCCACACCCTACTCCTATCGATTGAATTTTGTCTCACAAAAATATGATGCGACTTCCATGATTTCATATTGAATCTAACCTACATTTTTCATTGAACGTGATAGCAACGAAGTTTGATGAAGCTCGCAAGCTATGGAATCGAGAAGGGTCTGCTTTACGTATTTTTTCGAACCGTCGACGCATAGTTTTCGTGATCCACGGAATTGGGAATGAGAACAGAACACACATTGGATTTTAACAAGAGTGTAAATTAATTGTATTACACAGACGTTTACTAAAATACGCGATTATTATTATTGGACAGTTCAATTAACATTATAACGTAATTAGGATGTGTTCTGCTTACATTTCATAGTACTCGTCTTTTCACTGTTCACTCGGTGATCATAAAAAAGCCATTTGTTGAAAGTTTGATCGAACAATACTGTTGTACTTAAGTATTTGCTGAAGACTGGCAACGAAAAATGTACGTTGGATGCAATGTGAAATCATGCAATTCGCATCGTCGTTTTGGAAGAGAAGATTCAGCCGATAGAAGTAGATGAATCTCATGTCCTTCACATGTATGGATAGCTCTGGTGTCAGACTACATTTTTACTAGAGATTGTCCAGTCAGATTTTGTACTTTGGGCAGTGTCAAGATTTTCTTTTCTGATCGCGAACGAAACTCCATGCATTTTTCATTACGTGATGGAATTAGGGAACAAAACTTGTTGGAGTGATAGAATAAAGATGCATGACCTTATTCCATCACACCTATAATTCGATTGTCACGCAAAAATAGGGATGATGTTGACATTTTAACTTCATACAAAATATACTGTTCGATAGGGCTCAATGAGACTAATCAAACGATATAAGTTTCAATCGGAACGATAGTATGTTCACCACTGAAAAGATTTTTCTTTCTGACAAGTTCATGCAATTTTGCTGGAACGATGGAATTAAGAAGGGCACAGAAAGAGAAGAAAACCGAAGTAAGTCTCCTTTTTGAGAGCTACTGCTTAATCAGAATTTATCAAATTTAAAAGAAAGTTACATGAATCGATAGAGAAATGTTTTCTCTATTGCGGAGTCCAAAAATCAAGTCAAATGGGCGTAAGAAAGCAGGAATATTGTGCTTCTACTGCAAAAATGAAGAATTGGTAATGGAATTTGGGTGAGCTGCTCTAGTATATCTTGGCTAGAATCTGTCCAAAATGCTAATATAGAAGAATCTTTGAATAATTCATATTTTGAATGAGCAGAGACCGATGTATATGATAGTGTTCAAATTTGATATGATGTTTTGATCGGGTTTTCCTTAATATCTAAAAGAAGTAAAAACGATTGCAAAAGAAACCAAATTATCGCTAAATATAACACTGATCTGAGTATAGATTATTCAAGGTAACCATTAATCGAACATTCGTCTCAATGCTCAAATTCACAAATGGGCTTAAAATCGATATCTCATAGATAAAAATACAAACTCCATGCGTCACTTCCGATCATCGAAAATGCATGTCCTCATCTACGTGGAAAATGTTTTATAAATGTGATTCATATGTACTCTGTTGTTCTATGACGAAGACAAACGTCATAGCATTCATTTTCGCCTAGTTGCCTTGGTATCGTAAAACAATCAATAAATGATGCGTAATAAGCTTTGTTGGAAGAAAAACAATCGTTCGGTCAGGTTAATAGTCGATTTCCTTCGGTTCTCTTCATTGCAATCGAGCTGAAATTTTAACCAATGATTGCTCTTTATGAAAGAAGATTTCTTGCAAAATTTCATGCTTTTTCCTTGAGATAGAGCCGAGAGGCAAGGACTGACATTTTCACTTGTTGAAATGTGAGGGTGTGGGTGAGTCTCGCTGTGGATAAGCCTGGTGGTATGGGTACAAATCTCGTTGAAGTGATATTCCAAGCTTTCCACACAGACACTCAAGATGAATGGCAATGTACAGGTGGGTTGTGTAAACATAGTGCCGAACAAAACCAAGATGCTTACTTTTTTTTTCTTTCTAAATAATTGTTTTTGTGTTTGCACAACACCAAGAACTTTTTGCAATTGTTTGTCTCTATACTTCTATCGAATTGACGAGTTTGAATAAAAAACAAATGCAAGGAAATCAATTCATTATTATTCATCACGCCCTATTAATTCTGTTTCGCTTCTTTTTATTGATTCTATTATATTGTTTTTCTTGGCAACCTTCGTTTGCTTTTCATGCACACAATAAACACTCCAATGCTAACGCGTTAGTTACATTGTCTCACTTACAGGATGGTCCAAAAGGCTTAGTCGTTCTTAGAAAAATCGCTCGTTCTCCCTTATTACAAACCCAAGAACGCTCAAAGTTGGATATTTAATCCTTTGTAACTAGATAAGGGTGATTCCATTGGATCACGCTGTTATATCCTCTTGACTAATTCCAACTCCTCCAGTGATATTTTTGAAATAACCTTTCATAAA